GTAGCAATAATTCTATCTTGACTACTTGAGAATTGAGTACTTTTATCTTCTCTTATATTATTTTCATGAATTAGTTTAGCTTATTTATATTCTTCTTTCTTGTTTTCTAGTTTTCTTTAGTCTCCTCATAGCCTTTTTTATAGTTAAAAATTAAAATACACTATAAGTTACCTCACTTGAATTTTTCAGATATTTTTTAAAATAAATATTTCGTCAATTAACTATCTTAAAAACTTTTCTCTATAACTTGTACTATTTCTGAGTACTTTTATAGCTGCTATCTTTGCTCTTATAATTTTTTTCTTTCATACTTATCTTTACTTAGAGCCTAAATACTTTTCTTCAGAGAAGAGTTAGATTCAGCTAGTATCATATCTTCTTCTGATTCTTCTGTAGTATTCATGTAGAGATTTAGATTTGATTTAGAGATTTCTTTATCTTAGGTTTCTTTAACATTTTTTATTAGACTATAGCTTTTTTTATTTCTTTTATTTATTAAAAGTTGTTCTTCTGATAAGGCTTGTTCTTCTTTTATACTATCAACTATCTTTAAGAAATTCATTTGGTCTATCATTTCTATATCTGATTTATTCTTACTCTCTTGCACTATTAATTCTTTTTCTTTTACTATTATATTCTAAATTTTTTGCTCTAATACTATTTTAACTCTATTAATTTCTTCTATTATTGCTGCTTTTTTTATTACTTTTCTCTATTCTCTTGCTACTATTACTATATCACTTTCTACTTCTAAAATCTCTGCAATTATTTTATCTATATAAACTTTTAGACCTATTACTTTTCTATTATTATTTCTTTACTATATTCTTTTGTTACTACTCTAACTAATCTTGTTGCCTTTACTCTGTTCTATATATTTTCAAACTCTATATTCTATTCTTTAAAGTGATCTCATCTTTTTTTTAGTAATTCTCTGTAACTTTTTCTGATTATCTGTAAGTTATCTAGTTTTGGTTTTGCATGTATTATTTTTACTATCTAGCATATAATATATAAATTTTCTATATCATATTTTGTTTATTTTAGTTTGCATATATTTGTACTATGTTAAGTATCAGTGTCTCAAAATTTGTTTGATTCCTCAAATTTTTTAAAAAAAATTTTGTCATCTGTTCTAAAGTCAAAACTATCTCTATATTACTAGTTTTTTTAAGCTTTTTTTATATTTTTCTGCTTTGATATATATATTTTTCTTCTCTGCTTTCTTTTACTTAATAGCTTTTATACTTGTTCTTAGTAGAAATTTTATGTTTTTTTTTCATTTTTCTTTCTGCTTCAAATTTGATCAAAATGATCAATGAAGAGAGTATATCTTGTCTATTATCTATTTCATAATCCTAAATATAATAATAATATTAATATATACAAATATTAATATAATAGATATGATATATAATTAAAATATTTACCTCACACATAAGATATTATACTTTTTTAAAGTCAGATCTACTATCTAAAATAAATGTTATTTACTTATTTAATCTAAAACTTATTTTAATTTCTTTATATATTGCAAATATATTATCATCTATATAATGATAATTAGAGTAATTATCTATTTTTAAATTTTAATTTTTATATTTTTTATTTGTTATAATAAAATTTAATATGCTATTTTTTGATATATTAGTTTATTTGTTACTAGATAGTATTAGAAACATAGAATCTAATATAAAATATTAAATACTATATTAAATATTTTTATGTATTTTATCTAAAATATCTATACTTAGCTATTTATATAATAGAAGTTTATACTCAGATTTTAGCATGTAAAATAGGTTAATTACTTCTAGGTCTTCTATGAATAATAGTAGTATATTAGTTGAAATTAATGCTTTAAGTAATTGATAATTAATAGATACCTTTTCTTTAATAGACAAAATTGAAATATTTTTAACTTTAAATAATGAATTATTATCAACTTGAAGTAATAAATTATTATCAACTTGAAGTAATAGATTATTATCAACTTGAAGTAAATTGTTTTTTTGTAAGTTTTTATTTTTTTTAGTATTAGTATTTTTTAAAATATTTTCAATATTATTATGCTCATCTTAATAAATTTCTTCACATCTTTCTAATAAATGTTTGACTATTTTTGAAGATTTTCTGGAACAATTTTGTTCATAAAAATTATATCATGCTAAATAGTATGAACTATTTAGCTTTTCATCTTCACTAAACCATTGCCAAATTGGTTTTTTTTCTTCCAAATTTACATTGAGATGACATTTGAACACTAGCAATGTGAAAAATTTTTAACCTAGATGTTATATTACTACCATTTTTATTATTTTTTTATAAACAATTAAACAAAGGCCAGTTAAAATCTCAAGAAATAGAATCTTGACAAAGCCAAATTCTAACAAGTTTTCCAGTATTAAGTTAGTGTTCACTAAATTCTAGTCAATTTTTGTTAGGAATTTGGTTGCTAAGATTGTTTGTCAGGATTGTTTGTCAGGATTTTGACCCAAACAATTACATACATATACAGTTATTAAAATGCTTGCATACCCATTTTTAACAATTACTGAAATTACTAATAATAATTAACTATTATTAACTAATTAATAATTGTTTTATTATTAACTAACAACTCGGTAGTCCCATCACTAGTTATATCGCATACTCTTTTATAGTACTCTAAATTGATAAAACAATTGATCAATATCGTAATTGTTAAATCGACCTACCAATAATTTGAACCCTCGTGACAACCAATTCGTGACCAAATCGTGATCAAATCGTGACTTCCAATAAACGTGACCAAGACAATCCATCGACCCAACTTCTATAACCAAAAATACTTACCTAACCTCGGACCAAGTTAATCCTCGAGCAAGGGTTACCTCTTAGTTGGATTTTTGGATTATCTCGACTTATTTGTGTAGATTAGTTAAACCCGAACCTCTGTGTAACCAAACCTCCGGACGAGTTCTAACCTAGAACCAATCCACACTTTTTCAACAGACGACAAAAAATAACAGGCAATGTTTTTTTGTCGGAGTTAAGTCACTCACACATCTGCTGCTACGCAGCACATGAGTGAGATTAACTCTAATGAAAAAAAAATGCCTGTTATTTGTCGTACGTATGTTCAATAATGATGTTATTGGATAGTTAATACGACCATGTGAAGTTTTTTCTGATATTTTGCAAAACTGATTACGTAATTTCATGAAAAAAATATCATGGCAAAAAAATTCACTTCGTCATATGAAATGTCGAATAACATAAATTCTGAAATTATTAATGTACATAAAATTTTTGTAATTACTGTATAATTTGTAAACATTATAGGTATAAAAAATGTGTAAGTTATGTTCACAAAAATCGTAATTTGTTTTTTTTTTTCACTACCTGGCGGTGTCCTTTCTGTACGGTGCCGCTCACTTCACCGACAGTCATTTCACCGAAAGTTCATTTAGCCGACATCACATGGGGTTAGGGTTAGGGTTTTATTAGTTTCAGGTATATATTTTTAGTAAATTGTCACTTGGCGTGATGTCGGCTAAATGAGCTGTCGATGAAATGATTGTCGGTGAAATGATACGGATCCCTTTCGGTACACAAAGACCATTGTGTTAGAATTGCCACGTTCAGCGAAGATTAATTTAAACTTTTAAATTCGTTTTGTAACTTAAATATTCGAATATTGTTAATACATAAACAATGAACTTTACAAATTAGTACAAGTTTTTTGCTTGGCAATACTCAAATTAAGTATCGACATTTTAGTAATACAACTTTTTTGCTTGGCAATACTCAAATTAAGTATCGACATTTTAGTAATACAACTATTTTAACCTTAATCTTATTGACTATTACAAATTTGGCGATAACAATAACAATAAAGTTTATTCATTCTCATCAGCCACGACAAAGATCTTATTGACGATTATAAATTTGGCGATATGTAGCAATAAAATAAAGTTTGTTCATTCGGATCAGTCATGACAAAATATTTACTGTACAGTACATTATCTTAGTAATCTGCTTTTATTAAAGATCTCTTAAATTTTAGTGATCAATCAAAATGTTATCTATAAGTAATCAAAGTGAAAAAAAATACGATAAACGAACATCTAAATCTATATTGATGTATTAATAAAAGTGTCGGTCACCTTAAACTTGTACAGGCTTGGCTCAAAAGCGACCTATTTTCGGAAATATTAAATAACAAAAAAAAAAACGAGATAACGATTTGTTTTTTTTTATTTTATTTTTATTTTTTTTTTTATTTTTATTTTTATTTTTATTTTAATTTTTGTGGTTTGTTTAACAACTTATTCGTATAATGAGAAAAAATAAATTTAAATAGCGAATTTCAAAAACTCAAGTATGCACATCTCTTATCGTAAAATTTGAATTAAAAAAAAACAACTATTTTATATTTTAAGAAGAGGGATATGAATTATTGTTATACGATAACATTATTATTTGTTATCATTATTATTAATTTAACAGCAACTTTAGCTAGTAATGATAATGATACTTTAGCTGGCAGTGGTTTTATGTATTTCTTTGCATATCCTTATCCGAATGGTACATGCCCTACCCAAATTTATAGTCCATATCATATTTATAATTCAGTTTTTCTTCAACTTGGTCAAATTATAACATATGGAGGACTTTTATTTACAGTAGCAATTTATGGTATTAGATCTACATTTGGTTGGCGTTTCACATTTTTCCTTGATGATTTAGTTATTATATTTTTTGGATTTTCACCAGTAATACCTTTTTATGCAATTGGTCAAATATGTGTAAGAGTAAATCTTCAAATATTTAATAGTATATTTTCATGGGTTATATTTATATTTTGGATTATATTTAGTTGGATATTAATATCAGTAATTCATGATTTTAATTATCGTTATGATTTATCAGCAAATAGAAAATATAATTTAAAATTAATTACAGCATGTACACATTTATTTTGTGCATTAGTAATTTTAGGGACAAATATTTTTAGTGTAATTTATGATTATTATTATTCACAACAAGATATTAATAATATTTTTGAATCAACATTCTTAAATTTTTTTGTTAATATTATATATCTTGGATTATCACTTTATTTAGTTTGGCATTTTTGGTTTTATAAAAGTGCTAAATATGAAGATGTTCAAAAAGATAAACTTCGTCTTTTTCCTTTAAGAGTTTTCTTTTTAACATTATTTTTATCAATAATTCAAGTATTTTTCGCATATGCATATATTTGTTCACTTCCAATAATTGATAGTTTATTTAATTTTCTTGTTGGTATGGTATTAACAAGAGCTGTAGCCGCATTTTTTTCCAATCAAAGAATAATTTATGATTATTTAATGGAAGTTGATGATGAGAGTAATTGTCTTAGGGTTATAGATAAAGAAAATATTCAAAAAGATGCAGAAGAGTTAAAACATAAAAATAAATTTATAAAAATTATAGCATTTTTACTTTTTATGAATTATGCTAATGGTTATTATACGTGGAAAACATCATTGATTGGATATGTGGATAGAGAAAGAAGATATTTAACATCAAATCATGGTGATTCATTCAAAATCAAATGCAGGAAGATTAATTTTATAAAAAAATTGAATAAAGAAGACGACAACATAAAAAAATTGAATAAAGAAGACGACAACATAAACAAAATGAATAATGAAAACGACAACATAAACAAAATGAATAATGAAAACGACAACATAAAAAAAATGAATAAAGAGGACGACGAAATAAAAAAAAAGAATGAAGAAATCGTAACATTAAAAAATATAACATTAAAAATTGAAGGAGAAGAAATAAAAATTGAAAGAGAAAGAATAAAAACCACTGAGGAAGAATTACCGAGAATGGATTTAAAGGCATTAACAATTGAAGAAATTCAAGGTGAAGGAGGAACTATTGAATTATTTAGAAATGGGATAATAAAAAATATAAATTCAAAATCAAAAGATCAAGAGGAGAAGAAGAAAGAGAAGAATTATTGGAAACCACATTTACATATCCATGATGAAAATGTATATTTAATACAACGGTTAAAAATTTTTAGTAGTAGGGCAGTAAACTTTAAAAATATTAAAGGGAATGTTGAAATAAAGAATCTAAAATTTGATCCATATGAGCCATATGAGGAAAAATACTGCATCGAAATTGAAGAAACCAAAGAAAATTACAATGAAGAAACTGATAAAAAAATCAAGGAAAATTCCAATGAAGAAACTAATAAAAAAATCAGGGAAAATGACATAATGGTCGTAATTGAGGAGAGTAAAATAAAATTAAAAGCCTTGAATCCCGAAAAGGGTTGGTTGGATGGTGATTGGAAATTAAAGATTAAAGATGGAGAAGTTTATATTGTGAATAAGAAAAAGTTAAAATGCGAAGCAAAGAATAATGAAGGTACAAGAACTATTCATTTAGATAGAGATGTAAATTTAGGCGGTTATTGGATTTTATCTGAAACTGATAATAATAATAAGTATAAACATCAAGATAACCATTATAAAACTATAACTATCGATAAAGATAGCAAAATCGATATTAAAACTTTAAGAAGATTAAAATTAAACGGTAGTACACGTTTGAGAATCAAGAATGGTAAAATACATCTTGAATATAAAGTAAAAAAAAGAAAGGGTGATGGCAAAGAAAAATATTTAAAGGATGATGGCAAAGAAATAAAAATCTACGATAAACCTTTGAAATTTGCATTAAACAAAGCAGATAACTGGAATGCAAAATTATTAAGAAAAGATAACGATGAATATAGCATGTTTTTGCGACATGAAGTGTATAACCAAAATATTTTATATATGTCTGTTGAAGGTAATAAGCTTATTAATTTAAAATACGATAAAGATGATAACTTAGATTTTAAAAGTGGAGATATTATAAAATTGTCATACGACAAATTTTCAGATAAAACGATTATATATGAAGAAGACTTATCTGATAGTTTCGAATCAATATTAATAAACAATGAAATTGAGATTAAAAAGATTAAAGAGAAGAATGATACAACATTTGAAATAAGTAACCAAAATAACACTTTCTATGAAAAGTTTAAGAGTTGGTTTTGTCATGATGATAAATTGATAATTAAAACAAATCATGATTTCGAATTAAAATATATTAGAAAACATGCTTTGTGGAAGAATTGTGAAAATAAACATTTCATTGTGAACAAAGATGATAAAACTGATTCTGAAATTATAAAAGATGATAATATTATAAAAATTCAAATGTATGCACATTCAATAGTGAAGATAAATAAAACCGATCCAAGAATATCAAGATTAGAAAATGGTGGCACGTTAGAAATTCGAATTGACAAAGAAAATCGATCAGACAAAAAAGACAAAAAAGATGTAGTGAAAGTTATTCTTTCTAGATATATTAGTTTTCAGAATCGAGGGATATTGAAAATTGAAAAAGGTTGCGTTACATATACTGATAAGCCTGAAAATAAAAATTATATCGACTTGACCAAACATGGATTCTTGAATTATATAATTTATAATCATAAGAAAGAAGTAAAAAAGTTACGCGATCGAAAAAGAGAGCAAAGAATGCAAGAAATAGAAGAGAAAAAAATACAAGAAATAGAAGAGAAAAAAATGCAAGAAATAGAAGAGAAAAAAAGTTAAAAAGAAGATATAACCAACATACAATTTGTAGTAACGGGTGGGTAGTGTTAGGATTTTAGTGTTCAAGGTTCAATTTTTATAATTTTTATAATTTTATTAATTTATTTATTATTTTTCTTTTTACTTTTAACTATACAGTATACTTTTCTTTTTTTAAAATATAGTATCCTATTTTCATGCTCTCCGACGTGGCCAACCTGTATTTGTATTTGAAGAATTGGGTTAGTACTTTCATGTCAAGCAAGTTATTTGCAGATTTCATCGAGGGGGAGACTAATATAAGGTCGTTAAAAGTTTAAAATAAGCAAGGAGGGTGTATGTTTGTCGAGTAGGATTGAAAGAACTCTACAAGCAACTTCCTATTGTTATTGGATTCGTTTTTATTTATTTATTTTATTATATATAATATTTTTTTTTTGTTTTTATTTGATTTATTTTATTATATAAATTATTTTTTTATTTTTATTTTATTTCATTTTTATTTATTTATTTTATTATATACAGTATTCTTTTATTTTTATTTTTTATTTCATTTTTATTTCATTCATTCACTTTCTTTTTTTTTTTTTTTTTTTTTTTTTTTTTTTACTTTGTTATCTCTTTGTGCTTGTTCATCGAATTGCGCATGTATTTGTCGTGCCGGGCTTGAGTATTTGTGATTTCGGACAAGATATTTGTGGTTTATGGCTAATGATAGGCTAGTATATAACTTGAGGTGTATGGTATATCTATACCAATAAAGGTGTAAAAAGAAACCTTCTATGTTATCTATGAGAGTAGTTTTGTAATTTATACCATAATCAAGTTAGTTTTAATAAATAATAAAATTTAAAATTATATTTCATGAAACCTTTATTCGAATACAGTACTATCAAATACTGGGTGTTCTCAAGCATCAACCTAAGTGTGATTAGCTAGTAATCGTAATAGTGTACAACCATTTTTATATTTATGTAAAATTTTAACTAAAAATTTGATAAGCAAATTACGACGTAATCGAAGTTTTCTCGAGCATCGACTTTGATGCTATTTACTAGTGATCGTAATAGTGCTCATTTACTACAATAAATTAAAATAGAAATTATAATCAATGCTTGGGAAGTTCTTTATTGATCTCTATATTAAATGTCACCGTAAAAAAAAATAAAGCGAAAAATAAAAAATAAAAAACGGTCAAACACGAAAAAATAGATGCTGCTATTCTTCGAATACAACCTTCAACTTCAGTTGCTCCTATTACCCTCGTCATCAGTTAAATATGGAAAAACGTCAACCCAGAATTCACCGGTTTTAGGTCTTCGTTTATGTTGGTTTTTGAATTTAACAAAGAATTTTTGACGGAATAATTGAATTTGTAAAAAGTTTTTAAATTAAAATGATTATCTCTTTTATATATATATTTTTTTTTACTAATAAATATATTTCAATTACACAATAAACTTTAATAAACTACGGATATTATTTCTAAATTCATTATACGTAATGATAAACGTAATTGACCCTCTAAAAATATTTCCGTTAAGTAAAATTTATTCACCGACACTTTTTGATCCATTGATTAAGGTGCTTGAGAACGCCCAGTATCAAATACCTATATAATTGATACCTATAATAAAAGTCATCTATATAACGGATTTGAAATTTTAAAAATTTATTATAAATCTGTTATATAAATATTAACCATAAAGGATTTTACAAAATAAATTATTAAAGACCCGACACTCATTTTACCGACAAACCATTTCACCGGTTAGCGTTAGACAGTTTTATATTGCCAGTGGTGAAGTAAACGGAACCAGTTGAGGATATCTTTTTTCCCATTTTATTCATATCCAATAATTTTTTAGGGATCTTTTTTCGATAGACGGTTACACGAACTATTAACGATAAGTTACGTGAAAACAACAAACGAAATACTCAATAAAAAAGCTTCTTTAGTCTCAGTACGAGATAAATAAGAAATAAATACAAGTAAAACGGCTATGTTAAGCTGTAAAAAAAAAGCACTGAAACGTCCGGGTATTTTCGGGTAGTGAACGATCGGTTGTATAATGGGTAAGGGTGAATTCGGAAGCAAAATTTCAGGAAATCGGTCTTTTTAATTTATAATTAAATATGAAGATATTATAATATTTTATATACTTAATTATATATTCAGAGTAGATCGTTTTTATGACAACTCAACAATGTTATTCTTCGTTATGGTTGGCTGGTTTTGAGGTCAAACCAAATTGGTTCATACCTGAACCATGTGTTACGTTACCTGTGGGTTCGGTCTATAGTTGTTAGGCGAAACCTATGAAGTTTTGTCATGACGAAAGGCGAAACATGATTTGGTCTTTCAAAAAAAAAAAAATTTGAAATGATGAAATGGCGAAACTAACAAATGGTGGTGAAAGTGTCGAAACTGCTGAAAGGTGGTGAAACTATTAAAAAGGTTATATAAACTAATAAAATTAATGAAACGCGATGGGAATGACAAAGATAATAGATAAATGATAATGAAACGTTATCTGTTAGTCTGTCTTAAAAAATCTACTTGATCAAGCCGATGAACATCGGTTTTTAACATTGAACCTAGCTGCCGCACAAAAATGCGCGGATGATCCTCGATTTTGATTGGCTAAGAGCGACGATCAAAAATT